CAAGTCATATACATCCCTTTTCAGTACCACAACTGGATCTTATCAGTCGAATCTTGTCAGGGAGTAATTGCTGCTAGTAATGTAATGGCATTCAGACCAGCAATGACTGAATTGTGAAAGATTTTTAAATCTGGGCCCTTTTGAACGAACTTGTAGCTTTGCGCAAATTTCATTCGGAAGCGATCCATAAAGAAAAGCTATCTTGTTTGTTTTGCATCCATTACACATTTATATATTTGTTTTATACAAACTGACAACATATAGGCATAACAATGTGAATGGATGGGGGAGAATCTACGGTTAAACATTCACAACGAATACCCTGGAAACTAGCAGCTAATTATGAGTGCTGGGCAATCACGTTAAAAGTAGCAAAACTTTTGCATAAATACTTAACAAATAATTGGATCCCTTTTTCACAGTTTTGATATCACTGTCTTATCAGATCATTGTCCTGCGTTCACCGTCCTGATGCGACTTCCACGGTACTCGTTCACTGGGGACTGTTTCATCGCCCTAATATCATCATCATAATTTAATTCACATCACTAGGCCTCTTTCACTGTCCTGATATCAGTAGCTTCGATATACTCCATTAAGCCCCATTCAGCGTCCTGTTATCACCATCATAATAGACATCTGATCCGTGGTGCCACTGGGCTTGTATCCATGACAGGTATCCGATTTATCATATCAGTGGCCAATGTTCAATTGTCCTGAAGTCATCCTCACCAATAAGCATCCAACTTATCAGTCTGCTTGACCTGTTTCGCTATCGTGATATTATCGCGTGTTTCGTCGCCCTGATATCACGATATTTAGAGTTGGTATTTTGAAACGGCTACTAGTTTACCATCTGTTTTCATTAACGATGTCGCTGATACCATACCATTTTCTTTCTTTTTCGTTTCGTGATTATTTTGACCATTGTATGAGTGGAGATGTACATTTGTCTAAATTAGACCTAAGTCATTTGGCTTGTAACCTTTTCTGACGAATTAAGAACAGATGTAGTAACAATGCAAAACTGCAAAATTACTATTAAACAACCGATCGTGCCCTTGCAATAGAAATCCTGAAAACCCGCCTGATCGTGCTTTTGCTATGGAAATCCTGAACATCTGTTTATCCGGCAAATTGGAGAGTCCCACCCGGAGCAAAAATTCATCTGTGTATATTTTCCAATTCAATCGGCCACTTTAACAATTCTAGTATTGCCATCGCGGCACATTTCCAGTGGAGCCAAGTTTGAGCCCTCTCATCGGCGCGCGTGGTACTTGCTCCTTGCAGTGATAAGCCATTTGATTAGATGTGTCCATTGCATCAGTCTTCTTGGCATTTTTTCATTGATGTACCAAACGGAATTTGACGTTTCACTTGTTTTTGTAGAAGCCGTCGTTCACGCACAGATCAATTACCACCCCCTAGATACCAACATCTTGCTTCCAGGCCCTTTTATCGGTGCGTTTGGCGATCACTACCCCAAAAAATGTCACTGCACCCCAGCTTTTCCGGTATTTTCACCCCTTGTTACAACGTGAAATTTTTTGTACAGCAATTATCTTTTTTGGATTTCTTGTTGGCCCAGGCTTTTTCCCCAGTATTTACGCCAATTTTTGTTGCTATAAGTCATACAGTTGCCCGCTGCATTGGTTTTCCCGGTGTTCCTCTCTCATGTTCTTGCCCCCTCGTATTGCGTGGATTTTGCGGTACCGCCTGTTCTCCCTCAACGTTCAAGTAC